CCTAACGTTTCGCCAGCATCTGTGACCGGCATCTTCAGAGTGCAGGTTCTCTCTGTGCCCTCTCCTGTCTGTGCTCCTGCCCTCACCACACCAGCCAAGGAGTGAGTTTCTTTGCATCAGAGAAATGCCGTTTGGTGGCCTGGTGGATCTTTGCGGGTGGTCTGGTGAGCTTTGTCCCTGAAAGCCCACGTTTCGGTCTTCGAGCACATGCTGTGCTGTGGCAAATCGACTAGAAGAAGTATGAGTTTGTCCCTCTCCTGGGTTTGCAAAGAGTATGGCTGGAAGCTGCTAAGATTCTCTGAATGCAGCTGAGATGCTTGGTGGAGCTCCGCACGATTCTGCTGGTAGAGAGGGAATTCCTTTGGGAGAAGGGAGGTGGAGGAAGTGCTGCTGATTTTGGTGCATAAGGTTAGCGTGTCAGCTCAGCGGTGCTTTGCGCTAGTGCTTCCACCAGAAATGCTTTTAAAAGCTAAAACTGGGATTTTGGAGGCTGCTTCTGCCTGGCTGAGCAGCTCTGGGGCTTTTAGTTCAAAGTGAAATGGTCATCCCTCTGTCCAGAGAGAGATCCCACGGTACATCTCTTGTGGTCCGTGGTGCAGAGAGGCTGAGGGTCCTCCTGCGAAGGGCACCAATGCAGAGAAGTGGTGATTTGGAGAGTGGAGTGGAGAGGAGAGGAGAGGAGAGGCTCGTTATGTAAAGCTCTTCCTGGGAGGCTGAACAATCCTGAAGATTTAAATTCTGTGGCCAATATTTTGCACATATGCCAGGGACGGCAAAACTTTTATCTTTCTCCATACTTTTTTCAAGGTTAAACAATGTAACACCAAACTATCCATTTTAAAACTGAGTTTTGAATATGATAGGCTTCAGCAGTGTTTCTCGACCTTAGCAACTTTAAGATGAGTGGACTTCAACTCCCAGAATTCCCCAGCCAGCATGCTGGCTGGGGAATTCTGGGAGGTGAAGTCCACTCATCTTAAAGTTGCTAAGGTCGAGAAACACTGGGCTTGAGAGTAAAGGATTTGCGATGCATTTTGGGTTCGGCCTTCTGGCTTTCCATGCAGGTAATCTTTTAGGCCTTATTCCTGGCCCAAGGTCTTGCTGTAAAAGTAGATGTCTGCCTCCTTTAGGGACTTTTGTGTGCAGGCTGGAATGACTGAGCCGTCAGGTGAGCAGAACAAGCAAGATGTACAAAGGAGGGCAAGTAATGGCAAACCCACTTTGCTGTGGGGTACTTGGGTATTTCCGCTTGCGTGCCTGTCTCTGATTTAATTTTGGGCCAAGTTACGGTTGAAATGTTATGGTGTTCTTCCACGTAGTGTGTGTTGCTAATTTGTGAATATTGAGGGTTTGCGATGCTCTCCAGAATAGCCTTCCTCAACGTGTCTGTGTATGCCTTCGAGTCAATCCTGACTCCTGTATACTGAGTTTTAATCCTGCTGGCGACTCTAGAGAAAGCAAGAGAAAATGTTGCAGGGAGGGAGGAAAGAGACTGCCTTCGATTAGGCCTTCAGGAGCTCAGTGAAGGTCTAAACTAAGGATGGCTCCACATGAGAAATCAGCATCAATTTGGAAGTAGCTTTGGGACTCCCTGATCTCAGATACAAGCTGATTTATCCCTGACTCAGCTGCGATCTCTTTGAAATGGCAGTTTCCTTTTGAATTGTGGCTTGCTGCAGCTTGCCGGTGGTCTCTTTCCTCACTGCGGACACCCCTGCCTCATCCTGCTCCTGGGCTTTCACGGGGAAGGGGGGCTTGGCCTTCCTAGGAACTGCTGGTTTTTGTCAATGACCAGACAAGGGAACGTAATATGAACGAAGGCTGCGGAGGGGGTGGGGATGTTGGCAAACGGTTCCTTTTATTTTCCTTTTGCTTGGGGGGAGACATTTTCATTGTGGCAGTTCGGACTTTTTGCCCCCTATTCTCAGCGTTTTGAAGTTGGCAGAATAAACATGATGGCAGATTGTTTTCCAACGGCTTTTGGGAGCTTGAGGAGCTGAGGCAAGGCTTGCCCTTGGCCCTGGTTGTAAAGGATAACGTTTGATTGCTGAGGCTGGTGGCTGATTTAATCCCCGGGAAGGGCCCCGGGGTGGCACGCCGAGTTGCAGCAGACTCAGTCCTTGCCATCACTGGGAACAGCTTCAGCCAAGACCTCTGAGCCATGGTGGGGTTTGCTTTGGATGTGAAGCTCCCGTTGTGGTTTGCTCGGCAAGGTTGTAGGAACCCTGCCAATGGCTTCCTGCAGTGCGTGGACCCAGTCATTTTTTACAATATTGCACCAGATGGGTTGACGTGATGTGAGGTCTTTCTAAATTCCTTCCATTGGCCAGCATTGGTGCGTGCCACTTTGTCATGGTCTGTGGGAATGACCTCGGGAGACAAGAGGAAGAGCCGCAGACTGGGCAACTGGCGTGTAAAAGAGGTCTCAGCCCACAGAAGGAGGGGGGCATGGGAGGTGTTTCAGAAGGGACCCTCCCTGTTTTCCAGAGAGTGAAAGGAAAGCGGGGATGGGTGGGAAATACTTTCGGTCTTGCAAGATTCTGTTAATATAACCTTACAGTAAAGATAGAGCTAATACTCCTGGTTGTGCTTCAGTCTGGACTACCTTGAAAAGCTAACACACTTTGACTTGCAATGGTTGCATTCACACATTGGCTAACACATGATTTATTTT